TCCCCTGGTGCACACATCGGTTGAGGGGATTTGCACACTTTTTGTGGACGAATACAATATGGCCTACACGTGCATGCACTCTGTTGAGGGTTTGGCCCACACTTTTTCATGTAGATGTCGATATGAACAGCCACCCAGGAGGAAAGACCTGGGTTATTCTACATTCCCCACTTGCTGTGACTCCCTAGGCTCCAAAACAAATGTGCCACTATAATGACCCAAGTCTCTCACCTCCCACCTGCGGAGTAAAGTCAGCAGGGGGTCATTAGGAGGTATAAATACTCTCACCCAGTTGATCCCGGCCGAGTGCAGAGTCCTGCAGTTTGTGTGTGACTTCAGCATGTGCTGAGAGGGAAGAAGACGCAGCCAGGGTTCAGGTGAGCAGGGGCAGTTTATATTAAAGCTAATCCAGGATCTTTCTAAATAGGAGATTTTTAAAGTAAATGTAAAACTTGGGGCAAAATCTGCTGTTAGTCATCCTGGTGTAAACCTGGAATGATTCTGGATTTATCCCCGTATCAGTGAGAGCAGAGTGAGGTTGGTCATTTTGAAGGGAACTATTGAATTTAATCAAAAAACAAAGAGCCAAAAAAACGATGGTAAGAAACCATTGAATGTTCCAAAACATCAGGGGTATTCGGTTTACACACACACAACCATAGTTCTCACCCCATGCACAACTGGATTGTGAGAGACTCTTTACTGTGTAACAAATTTATTTTGAGCTTATTCTGAGCTTATGCTGAAATAAATTTGTTAGTCTCTAAGGTGCCACAAGTACTCCTGTTCTTTTTGCGGATACAGACTAACACGGCTGCTACTCTGAAACCTGTCTTTACTGTGTGTCTGTGTTATCATGGGAGATTTCAGTCTGGGGGACATATGTTTTGGAAGAGAAAAGTAGTGATTAGGACAGGGCAGTCCTATAAAACGAGCTCAATCACTTGCTAAACTGGGCTCACTTGAACAACGTGCAGTTGATTACAACTAAATGTGAGGTCCTGCATTGAGGAATCAAGAGCGTAGATCACACTTACAGGACGGGGGACTATGTTTTAGAAAGCACTGACTCAAATAAGAACTTGGAGTGATGATGTATAACGAACTGTACATGAGGTCCCAGTGCAGTGTGGTGATGGAGAGAACAAATGCCCTCCTTGAAAATATAAGCAGGGAAATATCAAGTGGCTATAGAGAGGTGTGAGGCTTGGAGACACTGTTTCTATGTCCAGTGTCCACACTTCAACAAGGTTGTTGACAGATTGAAAAGGGTTCAGAAAAGAGCTACAAGAATGATTTCAGAGCTGGAGAACGTGGCTTATAGCCAGAGACTGAACAAGCTCGATCGATTTAGTTTATCCGAGAGAAGGTTAAGAGACGACTTGATCACAGTCTCTAAGTCCATAGAAGGGAAGAGATTTCTGACTGTAGAAGGTTCTTTAATCTAGCAGACAAAGGCAGAATGAGATCCAGTGGCTGGGAACCGAGACTAGACAAATTGAGACTAGAAACAAGGTGCACATTCCTAGAACAAGGCAAACTAACATTTGAAACAACTTAGCTAGGGATGTGGTTGGATCGCCTTCACCTGAAGTCTTTAAATCAAGACTTGACGCCTTTCTCAGTGATACGCTCTAACTCCAAGAGACGTTATGGGCTAGATGCAGAACTCACCTGGTGAAATTCTGTGGCCTGTGTTATTCAGGAGGTCAGAGCAGGTGCTCAGAATGGTCCCTTCTTGCCTTAAAATCTATGACTCCATAATTATTTGATCACAATTTTTTCTCAGTTAATGAAATGATTAATAATTTTTCTACAACCTTTGATAAATATGGGCTGTAGCAGCTTGTAATATTTTTCCCCTTTGTCAAAATGGTCTCTCCATCTCTGTTGATTTGGATTTTTATAGCATAAGATTTCTTCTCTCCATAGTCTGTTTTGATTGCATGTGTGGGGCAGGGGTAGCTCAGTGGTTTGAGCCTTTGCCTGCTAAATTCAGAGTTGTAAGTTCAATCCTCGAGGGGGTCATTTAGGGAACTGGGGTTTTAAAAAAAACAACCAAACCATCTAGGGATTTGTCCTCCTTTGAGCAATGGGTTGGACTTGATGATCTCCTGAGGTCCCTTCCAGCCCTGTGATTCTATGAATTTCATCTGTTATTTTGTTGCCCAGTCACGCAGTTTTGTGAGATCCCTTTGCAACTCTTCACAGTCTTCTTTGGAGTAATGTCTTGAGTAACTTTGTATCATCTGCAAATGTCACCACCTCACTGTTTACCCCCTTTTCCAGATCATTTATGACTATGTTGAACAGCACTGGTCTCAGTACAGATCCCTGGGGGACACCACTATTTACCTCTCTCCATTCTGAAAACTGACCATTCATTCCTACCTTTTATTTCCTGTCTTTTAACCAGTTACTTCCCTCTTAGGCCATGACAACTTACTTTGCTTAAGAGCCTTTGGTGAGGAAACTTGTCAAAAGCTTTCTGAAAGTCCAAGTACACTATAGCCACTGGATCACCCTTGTCCACATTTGTTGACCTCCTCAAAGAATTCTACTAAATTGGTGAGGGATGATTTCCATTGACAGAAGCCAGGTTGACTCTTCCCCAACAAATCTTGTTCATGTCCGGTAATTCTGTTCTTTACTATCTTTTTAACCAATTTGCCTGGTTCTGGAGTTAGGCTCACTGGGCTGTAATTACAAGGATCACCTCTGGAACCTTCTTTAAAAATTGGCATCACATTAGCTATCCTCTAGTCATCTGGTACAGAGGCTGATTTAGGTGATAGGTCACATACCACAGTTAGTAGTTCTGCAATTTGATATTTGAGTTCCTTCAGAATTCCTCGGTGAATCCCATCTGGTCCTGGTGACTTATTACTGTTTAATTTATCAGTTTGTTCCAAAATCTCTTCTTCTGACACCTGGGACAGTTCCTCAGATTTGTCACCTAAAAAGAACAGCTCAGTTATCCCGGAAGCCGGTGGGGAGTTCTCCCCCTGACTTCAATGGGAGCGGGATCAGACTCATAGTCTCTTTGGATATGTCTACGCAGCGAGCAGCAGTCAGTCTCACAGCTCGGGTCGACAGACGCAGGCTCGTGCTTCTCGGGGTACCGCGCTAAGAATAGCTGTGTAGATGTTGAGGCTCGGGCTCTGAAGCAGGTGGGCTGGAGCCCCAACTCGAGCTACAGCATCTACACAGCTTGTTTTAGCGAGGTGCCCCGAGTCTGTCGAGCCGAGCTCTGAGACTTGCTGCCGTGGGCTGACATTCCTGTGTAGATGTACCCTTGGTCATCGCTGAGATCAAAATAGCACTACTCATGCATGTTCCCGATGTACTACGTACATCCTGGCTGACTATCCAGAGTGTGCTACTGAATGTACCTGGTACATCTTGCTACATGCAGCTTAACATGCCAGGTATTTCTGAAAGCGTGTGCGGTGTGGCCATATATACTACGTACTTATTTGTTAGTCTCTAAGGTGCCACAAGTACTCCTGTTCTTTTTGCAGATACAGAACACGGCGGTTAGTCTGAAACTAAATAATGTGCATCTCCTAGTAGCAAGGTACACCAGGTATGTTCATTACTCGAGACTTGTAATGACATTCTAAAAACTCTAAATGATTTTGCACAGAAAAATATAAGGATTTGTGTGATCAGTGTTATCGCAACATGACTGATGAGCTCAACAAAAGGTCAGTCCACTTCTTCCAGAGCTGAGACTGGCCCCTAGTATGTATTTCATTTACAGGGTCTGTTCATTCCATATGTTATGTTTTATTGAAAGGAAAGACATTGATGTGACACTTGCAAAAGATGCCACAACAAGACAACCTGTCAGGTTCCAACGGCACAGGCTCTGATCCATCAGTGTTCTTCCTGACAGGCATCCCGGGGCTGGAAACTCTGCACCTCTGGATCTCCATCCCCTTCTGCTCAGTGTTCACCCTGATCCTTCTAGGAAACTGCGCCCTCTTGTATGTTATCAAGACAGAGCCCTCCCTACACAAGCCCATGTTCTATTTCCTCGCCATGCTGGCCGTCATCGACCTGGTTTTATCCATAACCACCGTGCCGAAAATACTGAGCATCTTCTGGTTTAATTCCAGGGAGATCAGCTTTAATGCTTGCCTGGTGCAGATGTTTTTCCTTCACTCATTCTCCATCATGCAGTCTGCTGTGCTGCTGGCCATGGCCTTCGACAGGTATGTGGCCATCTGCAACCCCCACCATCCTGACCAATTCAATGATAGCAAAGATCGGGCTGGCGGCTTTGGCCCGGGCTGTTCTGTTCATGGTGCCTCTGCCCTTCCTCGTCAGGAGGCTGCCCTTCTGCCAGTCCCACATCATCTCCCATTGCTCCTGCGATCACATGGCTGTGGCAAAGCTGGCTTGTGCCAGCACTACGATCAATAACATCTATGGGATCATCGTAGCTATCTTCATTGTGGGGCTGGATCTGCTGTTCATCGTCCTGTCATACGTCAAGATCCTGAATACCGTCTTAAGCTTGGCATCCAAGGAAGAGCAGCTCAAGGCTTTCGGCACCTGTGTTGCCCACCTTTGCGCCATCCTAGTGGTCTACATACCAGGGGTTCTCTCCTCAGTAATTCACAGATTCAGCAACCAAATTGCCCCGTACGTACATGTCCTGATGGGCACTTTCTACCTCCTCTTTCCTCCCATGATGAATCCCATCGTGTACGGTGTAAAAACTAAACAGATTCGTGACAGAGTTCGTCTCCTGTTCCGAAGGAAAAACTTCTAGGCTGCACCTTTTGTGAAGTCTAGTGCTGGGAAACCCATCAGCAAGTGCCCCACACCCCTAAATGCACAGGGATCATTAGTGCTGATGAACCTTTCTGCAGCATCTTGCATCCTGAACAATTTTAAAGCTCTTCACAAACCATGGAGTGAAAGGTCTGGGCATGCTGGTGTGGGAATGCCGTCACCTTTGGAGGGGGTGCAGCATACAGTCCCCATGTTCTCCCTGAGTTGTGGTGGTCACCATGGAAGTTACACTTGGCTGTTGTCCTGCATCACTTGCAAGAGGGCTAGGCCTGCTCACTCCTTTAATGTAGGGAGGTGAAGTGTCTTACCTAACCTCACCCAGCAGCCCAATGACTGAACTAAGAATTGATCCTAGGTCTCTGGCATCCCGGGGCAGTGCTCTATCCACTAAGCACTGCTGTCTCCATGACAATGAGATTATTTCAATTTTAATAAGATGATTTCCTGGGTTGCAATGCGTGTGAATGGCGTTTCTCTCATAGCCAGTTCCCTACCCTATTATCTTTCAATCTAACTGAAGAATCTTGAACAGAACTTCAATACAATTCAGCACCTCATTTTTGGCTGAAATAAGGCCCAGCCCAATTCTTATGAAATCAGTGATCTGAAGAACTCTGTATAGCTTGAAAACTTGTGTCTTTCACCAATAGAAATTGGTCCAATAAAAGATATTACCTCCCACACCTTGTCTCTCTAGGTCAATGGGAGTCCATCCATTCACTTCAATGGGCTCATGTCGGTAATGAGTATGAATTAGGATCACGTTTTAGCCCCTTTCACCCAGAAGGATCAAAAAGCTCTGTAAGAACTGTGGGGCTAGTCCGCAGATGTGATGAACTCCCACAATTCTCACTGGCTACAGTGGGAGTTCATTGGTCCCCATCTGTCACGGTCAGACCACATATTAGTGTAGGCTACCCTAGAAAGCCTTTGCCGGTATAGCTTCACCAGCAGAACCTTCTGAAGGAAATGTAGTGTATATCAGTGTAAGGAGATCTTTTGTTGGTATAGGCAAACCTCCTCCTCAAATGATATAAGCTATATCGTCAAAAGGACTCTTTTGCTGATATGGTTGTTGTGACGGGATGTACTCCGTTGTTGAAGTCTGGAAGCTATTGGAACTGCTGTGCCCCCTAACTGTTCAGCTGGGTTGGCCTCTTACACTTCTCTGCTGATGACCCACAGCCAGCCCCTCCGGGCCCTGTTATCACCCAAAATGACAGCAGGTGGTGCCACACCCCCAGTTGAGTTACCTGAGTGCTTTACCTAAGCCACTCATGGACCAACAATGGAGGCACCAGCCAATTTCCCAGCCTTGCACCCCTACTGGAGCATAAACCCAGAATTAGACCGTCTTGCACTGCACAGCGATCTGTACAGCGTAAACTCATTAAATAGTCCGCTCCCCCCTCGATGGGAGGAAGATCTGCACCAGCCTTTGCTAACGGAGCTAAGAGTCCCAAACACTTCACTCAAATACACACTGGTTAAGATAAAACATAAGTCAGGTTTATTAACTACAGAAGGATAGATGTTAAGTGATTATAAGTGATAACAAACAGACCAAAGCAGGTTACCTAGGAAATCAAACAACTTTGCAATCTAAGACTTGTACACACTAGGTAGGATTTGAATCAGAATATCTCCCCCTGACTGATGATACAAGCAGGTTTACAGATTCTTGAGGCGTAGGCTGTATCTGCTTTGCAGCTGGTGTTCCCCTCCCCCTACAAAGTCCTTTGTCTTGCAGAGATTCTTGCAGGTGTTGAGTGTGGGGGAGTGAAGACAAGTGATGATGTCACTCCCCCTCTTTTATACTTTCTTCCAGCTTGCTGGAAAGTCTGTGCATGTGACGTGGGGGGTGTGCCCCCATTGGCCAAACATTCTCCATGGTCTCCGTGCTCCCTCCGAGGAAGCTTTCTTATGCAGAGTTCCTGTGCTAAGAACATAAGAACGGCCGTACCGGGTCAGACCAAAGGTCCATCTAGCCCAGTATCCTGTCTACCGACAGTGGCCAATGCCAGGTGCCCCAGAGGGAGTGGACCAACAGGCAATGATCAAGTGATCTCTCTCCTGCCATCCATCTCCATCCTCTGACAAACAGAGGCTAGGGACACCATTCCTTACCCATCCTGGCTAATAGCCATTAATGGACTTAACCTCCATGAATTTATCCAGTTCTCTTTTTAAACGCTGTTATAGTCCTAGCCTTCACAACCTCCTCAGGTAAGGAGTTCCACAAGTTGACTGTGCGCTGTGTGAAGAAGAACTTCCTTGTATTTGTTTTAAACCTGCTGCCTATTAATTTCATTTGGTGACCCCTAGTTCTTGTATTATGGGAATAAGTAAATAACTTTTCCTTATCCACTTTCTCCACATCACTCATGATTTTATATACCTCTATCATATCCCCCCTTAGTCTCCTCTTTTCCAAGCTGAAGAGTCCTAGCCTCTTTAATCTCTCCTCATATGGGACCCGTTCCAAACCCCTAATCATTTTAGTTGCCCTTTTCTGAACCTTTTCTAGTGCCAGTATATCTTTTTTGAGATGAGGAGCCCACATCTGTGGATTCTTCCCTGAATGGGTGTTGACGACAGCAATTAACACTGTCTGGCTACTCCTTTGACATACCTGAAAGGTTGGTTTTGGGTGTTTCCAGCCTCACATCACATTTTAGTAACTCACACATAACACGATTTTATAGCTTCACATACAATGATCACACATACAAGCCAGGGAGATATCACCGTTT